GTTTTAACAACACTGAAGTACCCGAAGGTGGCTTACTAATAGAATCCATGAGAGATTTTAGATATTCAATTTCAAAACATAGTGCATGCATTCCTTCTTCAATTTTAGAGGATGAAAAGAGTTGTCAGGATTTTTCAGAATCTTAAGTTGCCATGTTAAAACAAATAATAGGAATTCTTTAACTCCCTTCCTAATAAGACAGAAAGCTCCAACGATGGCAGCAGAGACAGTACTAAGGATAGCTATGGCAACAGCTTAGGCCAATGCTTTAGCAATGACTCTGAAAAAATCTCCAACGACAACTCCAGTGTGTCTCTGACGACAGTTTTGGTGGATGGCACTGGTTGGGGCAGCAGTGTCAAAACCGCTTGTATGCACTTCAGGCAACCCCAATAATTAAAGGAAATGAGTGCACATCTAGCAAGCCTAAAAAGAACCATAACTAAGATGGTATAGAAGAAATACGGAAGCAGGACTCTGAAGGTCGGGAGCTCTAATACCAACTTAAAAACATTAATATGAAAGAAACAAGACTTTTATTCAATTGATTTATTTGAAGCAATACAGCAGCCTCTATAAATAGAGAACTCTAACCCTATAATAATAATTATATAAAGATCTCTATAATCTTCAAAGAGCTTCTAGTAGTATACTGAATATCCAACTAACAATAATAAGTTTTTCTGTTTTTCATATAAAATATTTCACTTACAGTAACATTTGCTCCGAAATCACGAGTATTAGAGAATGACCGGCCACTGAGCCTATCATGGCTGCTACCTATGTATGGTATCAAGAGCTTCACATCACTCATGGCCCTAGGCGTCACTTTCTTTCCAAAAAACAAGTTGTTTATGACATGTGACATGTTCATTTGAGAAGCATCAAAAGAATGGGAATCAGATCTAGCTGAGATGATCAAATTTCCTGGAACCTGCAAATTGCAAAACAGATTTACATTTCGAAATCTTAGAAAAAAAGAACTAGTTATTTTAGAAATTTTACTATTACAAAATGAAGCTTCTAGAAAAAGCAAAAGAAAACAAAACAAGAAATCCATTGACCATTATATATAAACACTATGGAACAAAATACGAATTTTTCTATAAATAACTGTTGAAGGTTAAACATCAACCTTTTGGGCATTTACCTTTTTCACTCGCACATATCCCTCAATTCTACATCCACCCGCTGATGGTGCTGGCCTTTTTGCATTTTCTGCAGCATTAGACTTATCTTCCAGAGCTGGCTTTTGAGATGCTGTTGGGAGAGATGCAACTAAACTCTCCATAAACTGTAGGAAGAAAGTGAAGTTTAATAACATTATTAAAACAATTAAGTCAACTGATTCAAATATGTAAATTTAAAACAAATATAGCATGAACCTGGACAAGGCTTTCTGTATCACGATCGCCATAATAGGACTCGTGTTCGTGATGCCCATGTTCACTTCTGAAATTGCAAAAGAATTCAACAAATTAAAATAAATAAAAATATCCAAAACGTTAAAACTCTAATCATGAACCAGTATGGTACACAGTAGCCAGGATGTGCGAAACATCATAGAGATATGACACAGAATTGAAAGACCCAAGGTAGTCAAAATCGAGATCTTAATCAAGATTGGAAAGGAAAATATAAATCGTAGATTGGAAGATCATAACGCCGGTCAGCTACGTTAGAGCACGGTCAGCCGGTTTGAATGACGCACTGGGAATAGGTGGCGCATGGGGGCACTGCAGCGACAGATCGGAACAGTGAAAGAAGATGCTCAGTGTTAGAGAAAAGGGGCACATAGTGGCCGCGGTATTGTTCATCTAAAACACAGAAAAAAAAAACAGATCGAAAACCTAAACTATTGATACCATATAGAAGTGTATATGTTTTGAATGTATTGTATTCTTATCGAAAGAAACCTTATCTCATGGAAAACCAAGAAGCAAAATATTGTTAACATAAGATCGTCTAAGCAAACCTTGTTTTGAAGTTTAACATATATGTCTAAACAAAATAATGCTTAATCGTCTAGGACAAATAATTAGAAGTGCTAAACGCTACTCTTTAGCTGCTTAAACGATATAAGAGCGTCTAACGTAAGTTTGATAAGGACTAAACAATATCTATCATGGTCTGCTGCTATTGAAATGTGGTTCCTTGGCCAAGGGCATTATGACCACCTTGAGCAAGATGGAAGCCATGTGCCTACTAAAAAAGTTGATCAGTGGAAACAAGCAGATTTCCAATTGTGTGCCATGTTCTGGCAATCAGTGGAACCCAAACTTCTTATATCTTTAAGGGCTTTCAAAACTTGTCACTCCTTTTGGACGAAAGCTCAAAGCATTTATGTCAACGATATTCAACGTCTCTATGACACTGCAAACAAGCTTGCATCTCTGAAAATGGTAGACCGTGATATGGTGTCCTTCATGGCTAAAGCCCAATCTGCTGTCAAAGAACTCAGCATGTTTTTGGAAGCGGACCCATTAGAGGATATCAAAATTAAACTAGACAAATTTTACATGGTGTTCATCCTTCGTGCCCTACATCCAGATTTTAATCATCTCAGAGATCAACTTCTGACAATTCATGAGGTCCCCTCCATGGAAACATTGACCACTCGCCTTCTGCGTGTCCCGGTACCTCAAACTCTGGAAGCGCATGAACTAGTGGAACCATCTATCATGGTTGCCACACGAGGAAGAGGAGGACGTGGCACTAGAAGAGGAAGACGAGGAGGTCGGGGACGTCCTCAATGCACATACTATAAAAGGATGGGTCACACTCAAGAGAATTGCTACTCCTTACATGGGTTCCCTTCCAAAACTGCCAATATTTCGAAGACTGAAACTTCTACTTCGAAGACTAAAACTTCTACTTCTAAGTTCTCCGAGGATAAATATCAAGAGTATTTAAGGTTAAAGTCTAACAGTTTGGAACAACCATCTTAATCTCCCAGTACATCAACAGCCTGCGTTTCTCAATCCATGGAAGGTAAAAATTCATGGGTAATTGACTCAGGTGCTTCTGATCACATTTCTAGTAATACCTCTTTGTTCTCATTTATTTCCTTTCGAGAAAAACCTCATTTCATAACCCTTTCATAACCCTTGCAAATGGATCTATAGCTTCCTCCAAAGGAGTCGGTCATGTTTCCTTGTCTCCCTCCCTCAATCTCAACTCTGTTCTTTTTGTTCCTAATTGTCCTTTTAATTTAATTTCCCTAAGCCAAATGACCAAAATGTTAAATTGTTTAATAACCTTTGATCACAAATCATTTGTTATACAGGAGCGTGGTTCGGGGAGACAGATTGGAGAAGGATATGAAGCTGGCGGATTATACCATTTTGGATCTCGTCTAAGGGTGTCCTATGTTGCTGCTCCTAATCCTAAACTACTACATGATTGACTTGACCATCCTCATTTGTCCAAATTAAAAAAGATGTGTCCTGAACTTAGTGGTCTCCGGACCTTAGAATATGAGTCATGTCAATTAGGAAAACATGTTAGATCTTTCTTCCTAAAAGGTCTCAATCAATATGTAATTCTAGTTTTTCCATCATCCATTCTGATATATGGAGACCTAGTCGTCTCTCCTCCTTTGGTTTTAGATATTTTGTTACCTTCATTGATAAATATTCAAGATATACTTGGGTTTATTTTATGAATATTCATTGTTGCCACATGGTCTATCCACTTATTCTTCCTTACCGCTAGGAGGGTTTGCAACACAAGGCCACGAGAGAAGCACCATCACGAGCTCTGTTGGCTTCTCCCTCGTCGTTGGGAGTTGCATCGCCAAAATCGCCGCTCCCACACGAGTTGCGATGTATAACGGCAATCTAACACATTATGTGAAAATCGCGAGTTTTAAGTAAAGAAAGATTGAAGAGGGAGAAAAAGATCGTAAAAACTCGTACAATCTTACACTTTGGATCGCAATTTTGACTACCATGGAAAGACCTCTAAATACAATGGAGAACCAAACACTGTAGCGAAACCCTTGAAATTTAACCAAGTTTGTACTAAATTGCTAGCTTTTAAACTTCTAAAATAATTTCTTATCCCAATTCCATCATAAATAGTCAATTTGAATAGAAAAATAATAATGAGGATTTTAAAAATGAGGATAATAGACAAGTTGACATAATTTGCCAAATTTTAAAAATAGGGTCTTAAGAAAATTTAATACAACCACAAAATTAAGTATATAATACCCTGAAAAGGATAAGCAGATGCCACAAGAGCAAGTGTTCATTATTGCCAAAATAGCCAAGGTGAAGAAAACCAAAAATGCATGACTTGTATATTTTGGGGTTTGTGCAGGGATAACAATGATATTAATGCTAATAACATGGAATTAATAATCATAAATAACACGCAACATATAAAGTAAATGGCTGTTAATCAAAAGACAGAAATAGAGGTCGAAATTTTTCATCAAACACTGGTTGATGAAAAATGGCTGTTAATCAAAAGAGTGAAATAGAGGTAGAATTTTTTCATCAAACACTGGTTGACCAATTGATTTATCACCTGACATCACTTCCTCTACGGAAGATTCGAATGGATGGATATCCTTGAATATGATTCCTGGACAATGATAGAGATACAAATGAATTGCAAAATAAGTATCAGTGCAGAATAGCAAATGTTCAATAACAAGACAACGAACCAAGGCAAAAAACAATAATAACTATAATGAAGAAAAAATAATTTTGTGCTCAATTTGGATACAATCTGCAGCAATCATATAATGGTTGAGAAGTTTTTCTTAACATGGATTCTTCATTTGTCTCAAAAGTTAAATTAGGCAACGGAGAATGTGTTGAAGGAGGCAAAGACAAAAATGGATTTACAACAAACTGTGAGGAGAAAAACAAGACTGAAAAGAACGAAGAAAAACTCCCAAACTCAATTATTCACTATTATTAGCTGTATAAGCCAAAGTTTACAAAGGAAAAGCTTCCTTTCACACAGCATATCCTCTATCACATAGTCAAAAGACTGTCAATACAAAAGAATTCCTCTCCAAGGAACTGATTGGTCTAATTATACAGACCAACTCCCAACCAACAGCACCGCATCCACTTACCTTTCCACCACTTACTTTCATTTCTCCTTCTACAATTAACCTTCCATATCCTATCATTCCTTCTATAATACATATTCCATTCTTCCTCATTATTTATATGCCTAACAGTATGTGTCAAAAAACTAGATGAAAATATGTTGGGTATTGAACAACTTTTACAGTATGGTTATTCTTTGATTTGAGAATTTAAACTCTTATTAAAAAAGAAGAATTGTTAATACGGTGAAAATGAGAAAAAACAGAAATTTTCTACTCTCACTTAATTGAGAAAAAAGAGAA